ATACACTTTGTACTTGGAAGCCTAATGAAGGCTAAATGGAATATACCTAATTGAGGCTTAATGGAATACACTTTGTACTTGGAAGCCTAATGAAGGCTAAATGGAATGCACCTAATTGAGGCTTATTGGAATACACTTGGTACTTGGAAGCCTAATAAAGGCTAAATGGAATACACCTAATTGAGGCTTAATGGAATACACTTTGTACTTGGAAGCCTAATGAAGGCTAAATGGAATATACCTAATTGAGGCTTAATGGAATACACTTGGTACTTGGAAGCCTAATGAAGGCTAAATGGAATGCACCTAATTGAGGCTTATTGGAATACACTTTGTACTTGGAAGCCTAATGAAGGCTAAATGGAATGCACCTAATTGAGGCTTATTGAATACACTTTGTAATGAAGGCTAAATGGAATACACCTAATTGAGGCTTAATGGAATACACTTGGTACTTGGAAGCCTAATGAAGGCTAAATGGAATGCACCTAATTGAGGCTTATTGGAATACACTTTGTACTTGGAAGCCTAATAAAAGGCTAAATGGAATACACCTAATTGAGGCTTATTGGAATACACTTTGTACTTGGAAGCCTAATGAAGGCTAAATGGAATATACCTAATTGAGGCTTAATGGAATACACTTTGTGCTTAGAGCCTAATGAAGGCTAAATGGAATGCACCTAATTGAGGCTTATTGGAATACACTTTGTACTTGGAAGCCTAATGAAGGCTAAATGGAATACACCTAATTGAGGCTTAATGGAATACACTTTGTTTGGAAGCCTAATGAAGGCTAAATGGAATGCACCTAATTGAGGCTTATTGGAATACACTTTGAATGGAAGCCTAATAAAGGCTAAATGGAATACACCTAATTGAGGCTTAATGGAATACACTTTGTGAAGCCTAATGAAGGCTAAATGGAATATACCTAATTGAGGCTTAATGGAATACACTTTTGTACTTGGAAGCCTAATGAAGGCTAAATGGAATATACCTAATTGAGGCTTAATGGAATACACTTGGTACTTGGAAGCCTAATGAAGGCTAAATGGAATGCACCTAATTGAGGCTTATTGGAATACACTTTGTACTTGGAAGCCTAATGAAGGCTAAATGGAATACACCTAATTGAGGCTTAATGGAATACACTTGGTACTTGGAAGCCTAATGAAGGCTAAATGGAATACACCTAATTGAGGCTTAATGGAATACACTTGGTACTTGGAAGCCTAATGAAGGCTAAATGGAATACACCTAATTGAGGCTTAATGGAATACACTTGGTAATTGGAAGTCTAATGAAGGCAAAATGGAATACACTTAATTGAGGCTTATTAGAATACACTTCGTACTTGGAAGGCTAATGAAGGCTAAATGGAATGCACCTAAGGCAAACCCATTCTAATACATTCTATACTTAGCAGCCTGTTGTAAGCAAATTGAAATATATTTGATTCTCAGAAACTTAATGTGGACTAATTCGAATAGAACTAATGTATGCTAAGTGGAATACACTTGATACTTGGAAACCTGATGTAGACTAATTGTAATACACGTAATATAAGCTAATTAGAGTACATTTGATACTTGAAAGCCGATTTTAGAATGATATTTCAGATGCTCCTGATTGAGTTTCATTCTCATTGGCTGCTTTATTTTGTAACAAAACAACAACTAACCATAAAACAACCGAAGCAAGAAAGCGAAGTCTAATTTTCTCTTGCTTTGTTCATGGGCACTTTGACAACTTTCTAACCTATATCCAATAAGCAGACAATAAATCACTGAAGATTCTTGAAAAATGGCCGGCTCTTCGTACCACTCCTTCTATCATACATTATCTTTACAATTATTTTTTCTTATACATAGTGTTGGAGGAGATTAGTTATTTCCCGCCTTACAACCTCCTTCACACAAACTGAAAATTACAAGCCTGTCAGTGGTTAGTGTTCAGCAGAGCTACACGATTCAGTTCAAACAATTAGAACTCGCGAAATCTTATTATTATTCCATTTGTAAGGAGGAGGCTTCATTCAGTCTTTTATAGAGAATTGCTACTCTTTGGAACAAAGTCCTACTCCTTTAAACTCTATAATCGTAATCTCTTTAAGTCAAGGGTCTATCTCTATCTGTCTTCCTAATCCTAATAATTTTCACTCCCTATTTTCTTTTCTTGCGTTCTTATTCAGTAAACCTCTACTTTGCATGGTTAGAGAGCTTTGTATTAGGCGAAAGTCACTTATCTTGCATGTAACAGATGTTGAAGCAAAAATTCGCTAAGTTTACTCTTGATGTAGCTAGATGCAACCACCATTCAACTCTTTCTTTTATCGCACTTCCCGCCGGTGAAACTACCTTCCGATTCCTTCTTGTGTGTTTCTTTGAATAAGGTGATTTGATTTAGATTTTTAAATATTTTTACATTTTTCAGTTTGGTCGGAGCAAAATTATCTGTAGTGTTTCCTGTCCAAAGCACGTCCGGCTACACACTTGGCCTTTTCAAGAGTTCCTTTTTTTTTTTGGCTGTTAAATGTTGTTCACTTATTTTCATGTTTGTCTGTTTGAGACGTACTTACGGAAAATTTTTACACTCCCTTACATCCACCAGACTTGTTTGCTATATATATATATATATATATATATATATATATAGATGTTGTAAACGAGGATAGTTTACTGAGGTTAGAAAGAAAATGATAATCATTATAACATCAACAAAGTACAATACTCGCCAGCGGCGTGAAGTACGTAAACGACTGCTAGTGGTGGACTACTTAGAGGTTAGATTACCCCCACTTACAATAGTGTCCAACATATTTATGAAGATTGGGACATACCCATTAATGTTCATAGGTACGCTATATAACAATATATATATATATATATATATATATATATATATATATATATATATATATATATATATATATATATATATATATATATATATATATATATATATATATAAAAAATATAGTTGTATGTTATGGTGGTATATTTATATTCGTATATCAATATCAATTTAAAAAACATGAAATTTTTGAAATCATACACATACACCCCATATATATAGGAGGCACGGTGGAGTAATGGATAGCGGCTTGGATTGAGGAATCGCAGAGCCGAGTTCGAATTCCAGTCGAATCCATTACATTCACTTACGTGCTAATACCCTTGGGAAAGGTATGAATCCTCTTCATCTCTCTCCAGCTATGGGTAAAATAGCAGGACAGACTGGGTTCTATAGCCTTGGATGGCAACTGGTCTAGGAGAAGGACAACTCTGAATTCAAAACCTGCGGAGGGTCGATTGGGAACCTTGTGGCATTCGGTGCACCAGGTTTCTGTATTCGTCTCTCCAAAAAGTGTGGCTGGTCCTGCACGAGGCCTTCCCCACTATAATCAAATCTCATGTGCCGATGTCGGGATGTCGGTTTCCTGGAAACTTATCGGCCTGACCCTCATACGTCGAACTCGACGGGAGAGTCGATTATATATATATATATATGCCTTTATACCAACGGCTTCCCATACTTAATATATAATAACCCATATATAAATGCTTTATAATAACGGTTTCCCATACTTAATACTTCTCGTTTTCACTCTCGCGTGGTAATGTGTGACGTCCTAATCTGCGGTGTGATTTTCGCTTCCAGTGTCTTATATGCACGAGTTTGTCGTTGCTTGGAAATCTTCCATGTAAACAGAAACAGACTATCATCACTGTCTTGTTCGTCTATTGCTTAATATATTGTCATGTAATTGTTATTGATAAAGGCTTATGTAAACCGAAAGCTTAGATAGGATTAAAAAATATGTATCAATACTGTGATTTTCTTTCTTCGTTTAATGATAATGTTATTACGATTATCAGATCATATGAAAAGAATTTACATAAAATAAATAGACAACACTTGTCTATATTATTTAATGAAACATGCATATATATATATATATATATATATATATATATATAGGTGTGTGTGTGTATGTATGTATATATGTATGCGTCTTTGAATTAGTTGAGTGGCTAATGTAACGCGTTTCAAACTATAGTTGGACTTCATCAGAGCAATCTTCTTATTGACGCCGGGAAGTGGGAGATATAAATGTGAACGTTGGTTATAATTCTGCAATAAGTAGAAACGCTGAGGACGTGGAAACGCTATATTTTAAATGTTTACACCCACACACACACACGCATATATATATATATATATATATATATATATATATATATATATATATGTGTGTGTGTGTGTGTAATTCATTGTTTTTTTTAGTGCTTTTCTTAGAATTTTACAATGTTAGAATGAGCGTCATAAATGGAGGAGAACTTTGAGAGAATTGCAACCTTGTGGAACACCAATTCTAACATCGATCGTAGTGTTTGGGCCGTACATGGCAGTAGATTTATTGAGAAACGCCAAAACGTTGAAGGGTTTTAGTAGTGTTTAAACAACCCTGCCGGGAAACGCGTTCAGTTTACTCGCCCTAAATGTAAAGTCTACGAAGGGTTCCATAATGAATAGAATTCAATATATATATATAAAAAAAGAAAAGACTATAAATCAATAGATAAACAAAATGAAAGTGCGGCGCCTTCTACACTCTTGTCTGAAAAATGAAGCAGTAAAATTAGAAAGAAAACGTTTAATTACAGTAAAAGGGAATAATCCGATAAAAATAAACGGGATAACAAAAAAATACAATCACAGAGATAATTTTATTTCTTCCGTTTGAAAATAAAGAGAAAGACAAGGGAGGAGGAGGAAAAGAGATAAAGAGGATGAGAAAGAGAAAAAAAAAAAAATAGATAATATTCATATAGAGCTTAAAGAAAGGGAAATCTACATAGAGAGATGCTCACACAGAAAGAGAGGTAAGTAAATCGAATGTAAAAAGAGGGAAAGCAACGTAGAGAAAAGCTAACACAGAAAGAGAGGTAAGTAAATCGAATGTAGGAAAGGGAAAGCTACATAAAGAAGAGCTATCAAAGGAAGAGAGGTAAGTAAGTCGAATGTAAAGAAAGAGAGAGAGGGAGATCAACATAGAGAGGAGCTAACACAGAAAGAGAGGTAAGTAAATCCAATGTAGAAAAGTGAAACCTACATAGAGAAGAGCAAACACAGAAAGAGAGGTAAGTCAAATGTAAAGAAAGAGAGAGGTCAACAGAGAGAGGAGATACCACAGAAAGAGAGGTAATGAGTCGAATGTAAAGAAAGAGAGGGAAACCAAAATAGAGAGGAGATACGACAGAAAGAGAGGTAAATAAATCGAATGTAGGAAAGGGAAAGCTACATAGAGAAGAGCTAACACAGAAAGAGAGGTAAGTAAGTTTAATGTAAAGAAAGCTTCACGGAGAAGAGCTATCACGGAAAGAGAGGTAAGTAAATCGAATGAAAAGAAAGAGAGGCAATTGGCATAGAGAGGAGATAACAGGAAATCGAAAGAAAATAAAAAATAAAAAAAAACAGGATATCCGAACATTTTACACTACAAATTTAAAAAGAATTAATGAATAATACAAAAAGAAAGGAAGTCAAGTAGTAAGAGAGAAGGAAAATAAAAAAAAGTAAGTGATAGAAAAGGAAAAGCATTCAAAGGCGTTTTGTTTTGTGATGAAAAAAAGAGCAAGAGAAAATGACACATTGAAAGAAATAGGGAGTAGGTAAAAAAGAAAAAAGAAAGACAGGCCAGTAGAAAAAGAGGGAAGACATTGAGTAAGATCGAACGAAAAGAGAGTTTGACTCGTATAGAGAGAGAGAGAGAGAGAGAGAGAGAGAGAGAGAGAGAGAGAGAGAGAGAGAGAGAGAGAGAGAGTATGTGTGTGTGTGTGTGTGAATGAAAGAAAGTTAGTTGTGAATTTGTGGGTAGGGGACAGGGATATAAGAAAGAAAAAGAGGAAATGGAAGAAAAATTAGAGAGAACAGAAAAGAGAAAGAAAGAACCTGGCAGAAGAAAGGAGAAAGAAAGAGAATGAGAGGGGCTCGTGAATCACAGAAAACTCAAAATGAGGAATTAAAAGAAACGAAGGTAAAGCTGGTGTAAATGGTAAATAAAAGCGAAAGGTTTGATTTCTTGATTCGTTTTCTACGGCTTATCAACCTTTTGCGGCTTATCTAAAGCCAGAAAATATTTTCTATTTTGGGAGATAATAACGGTTTATTGATATGTTTTACTAATTAACCTATAGCTGGTGGAGAAGAGGTGGATTTATACCTTTTTCTAAACGTATGTGCGCGTAAGTGATTATATCAAAAGCATTGGGAATTGGAACTCCTCTTTCCAATTCATGATTCCAAGCGCTTATCCACTACACTACTTGCACATCCAAGCGTGCAGCACGTGTTATCCTCAAGCGGTTGCCCATCAAGCTACTGACCAGGTTCGACATTGGTTAACTTCGGTGATCGTTCGAGAAAGGGAGGGATATATAAAGAGAGTTGTAATTAAATAGAGAGAAAGGGAGTTCAAAAAGTGAAAACAACAAGATAGGGAAAGTGAAAGTAAAAGTGAAAGTACATTAGAAATAGAGATAGGATGAGAAGGAGATAATGAAATGAAGGAGAACAGACAAAAGAGAGTGTTTAGGGAGGATAAAATAGGAAGAAGTAGACGTAGAAATAAAGAAAAAATAGAAATGGACAGATGTGATGGAGAGAAAAAGGAAAATAGGAAGATAAAAGAAAGTACAAAGAGACAGAAGCCGAAAGAAAATACTTGAGAGAGAGAGAGAGAGAGAGAGAGAAAGAGATAGGGAGAAAGCGGAAGAGAAGAAACAGAAATGAGGAAAATTAATGAGTGAGAGAATCCGAGGACTGTGTTATGGTTTTGAGCTTGCGCACGCACATGCGCAGGGCTGTGTGTCGGTAAGCAGTGATCAATTTCTTCACAGATTTTCGGAAAAATTAAATACACAATGATGGAATAAAGTAGAAAACATTCGTGTCTGCTCGCTGACCACACGAGTTGCGTATTCTTCATTAGGGTCGTCAGATTGTGTTACAAGACTTTCACATTTTCAATTTCGCTTCTTCCAATGTTTATTTAATCTCCAAGAATTACTACCCTCCTCAAATGTATAGACAAATCCCACAGATGTACGTGGCGATTTCTTCTGAGCCAATAAAAATAGACACGTCTAGGTCTTACTGATTTTTTTCTTTTTTTTTTAACGAGTAATCAGAAGGCTATAACCACATGACTGTATCACTTTTGCATGTGAACACTATTTCTATTTTGCAGACTTTTTTTCTTTTTAGCGTCTTATAATTGCTTTGCTTTGCCTTGCATTACATTAACTTTTCTCTATTCATCATCATCTTATTTTTATTGAGAATTCTGTCAATTCCAGTTAAGAATGTCCGCTTCTATAACATCCGACTTCGAGGGCAACGTTTTAAAATGTTTATTCTTTTTCTATATACCGTGTCTCTTCAGGACGTGTGCAGTCATTGCTCTCCACGGCGTCTTATCATTTGTAGCTCTTTGTGACGAATTTTCGCTATAACCCTCACGGACCTTTCCATGTACAAAAGCTCATTAAATTGGTTACTCGCTGCTTTTTTCTGTCTCTCTTGCCTTTAATATTTGCTGTGTGTGTTAATTTCTCTAAGCCCTTTTTCCTGTGTTCTAAAATTTACTGATTCCATTTATAAGCGTACTTAAAACTCTGTTGTTACGGATATCCTGGGTTAATTTGGCTTGCTATAGGGGAAAAAGCCAATAGCACTGGACTTTCAAATATGAACCAAAACGCTACTTGTAACTTACAGGTCAATCGTGTCGGTGTACTAATTATCAAGATAGATTTTATCTACAATGGCGCAACATAGTCTTCTAATCTCAACTTTTTAAATTAGTCTTTTGTGTTAGACAGACCCTAATATTGTTACGTACTTCCAACCGATATTAGAAATCAGCGTTTTCACGCAGTTCCATCTGAATATTGATTCTCAAAGCAAGGTAACCCCCAGTTGGAACACTGTCACAACACGTTCTTTCTAACAATTGTTCCTTTTTCCTTTGTATGTTAATGCGTAAAATTTGCGAGATGAGTCAGAGAGAGTGAGAGAGAAACAGAAATAAGGAAAGAGAGAGAGAGAGAGAGAGAGAGGATGAACGGGTTAAACGAAAGAAAGAGATAGAGAAAGAAAAAGAAAAGAAAAGATAGATATAAAGAGAATGAAAGAGAATTAAAAAGAATGAAGGGCAGAACGGGAATAAAAAAAGAGGAAGAAAGAGAAAATAAAGATAGAAAAAGAAAAAAAAGATTAAAAACGACAAAGGTAGAATGAAATTATGTAAGATAAAGAGAAAGAAAGAAACAGGCAGAGAGACATAGACAGAAAAAAGCTGGAGAAATAAATAAATAAAGAAAGAAAGAAAGAAAGAAAGAAAGAAAGAAAGAAGACGTAAAAGTGTAAATTGTGGGAGAGAAAGAGACTGAAAGAGAAAACCAGAAAGACAAAAGGGAAAGATAAAGAGAAAGAAAGAAACAGACACAGAGAGAAAGACAGAAAAAAGCTGGAGAAAGAAAGAAAGAAAGAAAGAAAGAGAGAGAGAGAGAAAGAAAGAAATAAATAAATAAAGAAAGAAAGAAAGAAAGAAAGAAAGAGCTAGAGTGTAAATTGTGGGAGAGAAAGAGACTGAAAGAGAAAATCAGAAAGACAAAGAGAGAGAGAGAGAGAGAGAGAGAGAGAGAGAGAGAAAATGAAACAGGCAGAGAGACGAGAGAAAAAAAGAGAGACCTATTTATATAATGAAGAAACCTGAAGAGAACAGTATACATTTAATTAGTTTACTAAGGCGCAAGGTTAAAAACATTGAGTCATTCAACAGAGTAGAGACGATTAGTTTAATCTGTCACAGAGCAATTCTGTGAAAACATCGATGGGAATGTGTGAATGGTTGGCGGGAATAATTTACTTCCCAAGGTTTTATCAGAGGCGCCAAGAGCAAATTTGGTAATTAAAATCAGTTCGAAATTGAGAGTAAAATTACTGCAGTTCTTTGCGTTTGCAGTGTTCATCATATGCGGTAATAATGTTTATATTGTGTCTAGTCAGTTCACGGCTCTTGTAGATGAGGACCGAAGAGGCTATAACTCGTTAGTTACGGTGCTTATTTGTATTTAAATGCTTTCTCTGACGTATCAAGTCATCCCATAAGTTCTGTCCGAATTTTACTTTTTTTCTTTAAAATGAACGAAATTTAAAGAGTATTTTATAATGTCTAATGGAGCTGAACATTATTTTTATGTTTAGATGCATTTAAACTGATCAAATTTTATTTCAGAGAGCAATAAAATTAAATTTTGTTTGATTAAAACCCTGCTAACATGGAAGTACCTAAGAATCATTTGAGGCACATAATGCTTTATGAGTTCAAGAAAGGAAATTCAGCAGCCAAAGCAGCTAGAAACATTCACTCAGTTTATGGAGAGGAATGTGTGAATGAAAGAACTTGCAGAAGATGGTTTGCAAAATTCAGACGTGGAGATTTCACCCTTGAAGATGAAGATCGAAACGGACGTCCAGTTGGGTGTGATGAAAAGCTTCTTGAAGCAGCCCTTGAAGAAAATCCTGCTTTATCAGTTGAGGAATTGGCAGTGGTTCTCAGTTCAAACCATACAACTGTTCATCGTCCTCTTCAACAACTTGGAAAAGTTCCTCAACTTGGAAATTGGGTGCCTTATGAATTGTCTGAAAACAACCTCAAATCCCGAGTTGACATCTGCTCTTCTCTCCATTCTCGCCAACTTCTTTCACCTTTTTTGGATAGACCTGTGATTGGCGACGAAAAATGGATCTTTTATCGAAATGTTAAGCGTCATAGACAGTGGCTTGGTAAAAGGGAAGGACCCCAGCCACAGCCGAGAAGGGAACTTCATGGGCAAAAGGTTCTTCTTTCAATCTGGTGGGATCGCCAAGGAATAATCCACTTTGAATTCTTACCACCTAATTCAACAATTAATGCTCAAATATACTGTCAGCAATTAGAGCGTTTGAACCAAGCTTTGAGGAAAAAAAAGACCTGCTCTAGTGAATTGAAAAGAGGTAATGTTTCATTAGGACAATGCGCGACCCCACACAGCAAGAATCATGTCACAAAAGATCGAAGAACTTGGTTGGTAGAAAATTCTTCATCCACCTTATTCTCCCGATCTTGCTCCTTTAGACTACAATTTGTTTCGTAGCTTACAAAATAATTTGGAAGAAACAGCTTTTGTAACACAGGAAGAGGTTAAAACTGATATTTGTGACTTCTTCGCATCAAAGCCAAAAGAATTTTACAGTAATGGAATTAGTAAGCTTGTTAATAGATGGAAGGGAGTCATAGATAATCAGGGAAAATACATTGTTGATTGAATCTGTAATTAAATGTAACATTTGGTCACTTGTTTTCTTTATTCAAAATTTGGACAGAACTTATGGGATAACCTGATATTTCTCCGTCTGGTCAGAGCAACAATTTCTTTGAAAAAAATGCTGTCGCTACACGTTTAGAATGTTTAACTCGCAAGCACTTGTGATTCGTGTCCGTCTGTTAATCAATTGCGGTTTCTTTGTGTTTAGATTGTGCATCTCGAAAAGTGTTTAGACTGACTCGTGTTTAAAGTGTTTACCTGGTAGCTACAGAAATTGTTCCATCTTTAGAGTTTTAATCTGACAAGCTTTTGCAGTTGTTTTGTGTTTAGATTGCTCGTCTCGAAAAGTGTTTAGCCTGATTCGTGTTTAGAGTTTTCAGTATTTATTACGTTGTCTTTTTATAATGTTCATATCTGAAGTTGTTGTATAACCTTTGGTTTCTCATGTCCATCGATGAAAACTTTTACATTTGCTTTGTTTTTGATACGTTCATATATTACAGTTTGTTTTCATTTAGAGAATATATCGTGGCTGGTTTGTTTTTAGATTATTCATATTCAAGCAATTGCGGTTATTTTGTGTTCTGCGTTTCCAATTTGTACGTTACTGTTGTTGCTTTGTGTGTAGTGGGATTTTTTCGTAGTCTGTTTCATTTGCTTTCAGTTTAGTGACTTAATATTCTACCTACTTCATGCTCAGGTCATCGGCGAGTTTACCGGTCTCCTACCAGGCTTTTCTAGTGAGGACAGTGGTTTAACACCCAGTAGGATTGAAAGCAAAACCTGTCAAATACAATTCACCCTTCTGGGGAGATCAATGGCCCTTTTGGGTAGATTTGGCTGTTAACTAGCTTGCAATTGGACCAAGTCCGCAATATTACCCAGTGTCCGAAAACAACGTCGCGCTAGTGTCGATATTCCACAGAGTCTCCCTCTTTGGTGCAATGAGGGAGGTGCTGCCGCCGAATTGTAATCCCCAGCACGAGTGGTCACTCATTTATTTTTGTTATGTCTGAAGTAATAAAATGGTATTTGTCCGACAGATAGTCCCCTGGGTATTTATCACCCACAAACTGTGTCGGGATATAGCACAAGGCCGGTTTAAAGTGGGGAGCCCATTCACATGCATATGGGCCAAAAATAGCCTGGGTCCCCTAGCCGTCAGTAACGCTGGCGTCGATATTCCACCGACTCTTTTATGCAATAAGAGAGGTGCTGATGCATAGTTGTCTACCCTGCAATTAGGTATCAGCCCGAATGCAGAGAATATTTTCTTGCTGCTCTATATTGGCAGGATGCGACACAGGATTAGTTTAATGTGGGGAGGCCAAGCCCATGCACCCGGGCCAGGTCCAAAAATAACGCATGCCTCGCAACCATCGATTGTGATGTCATGCTTATTACTACACCTTCCCCGCTTTTTAGTTGCCAAGCGTACGGTTCAACTGCGGGAAGCTGGTCACCACAACTGGCCTCTTGTCAATATTTTTACTTTTTTTTTTGAGGCATATCAACCTCAATGGGTTATTTAATGCCGACAAAATTTTTTATTACTGGTAAAATTTTTTCTTCAAAAATGTATTGCTGGTAATAATGTATTGATAGCAACAAATTT